CAACTGAAGTAAACAGGTGATCCAGGCCAAAACATCAATGAGGGGCAGTGATATTTTGGGCTGAGATTATATAAGTAGTCAAGTGTTGGGCACATGATGAGTCCCAGATGGTGTTAAAGTGACAGCTTAAACATACATTCCATATGTCATGCCATCCCTTGGCCATATCAGCCATGGCCACTTTGGTTACTATGTTGTTGAATAGATTACAATACATCATCCTGCTGTACAATGTTACAAGAACAAAACTATGTATTGAAAAAAAAAAAAAAAATCAATTAAAAGCTATCCGAAGAAAGAGGTTAAAATTATTTGATAGGAGAGATTTTACTTACTGTACATTCTGCAGATTTTAATAACAGATTCCTGAGTTCATCATAATAATCTGAAGAAAATACATAATCTGAAGTGTAGGATATACGAAGACGTAGAGAGCCCAAGTCCTGCCTGGGTTGCTTCCCATTCTCTCGACCATGTAAGAAATACCTGAGATTAAAACAAAATTTAAAAAGAAAAAAAATAACATTTCAATATTTTAGTAACAGACTTTATTTATTTTTTTTTTGTTTTTTATATTCCAGGAAACAACAAAAACTTTATTTGAAAGAATTGTTGCATGATTTCAAGTTTTAAATTTTGTTACATCTTTAATAACATAGAAATATGTATGTTCTGTCCATGTTTGGATAGAAAATTCCACTAAGGATCAATTTCTATTTACAAACAACAAAAACTGGCAAACATGGATAAACATGTCCACAATAAGACAATGCCAAAAGGACAGTTTTTCCCATGACACTGCTATTATTTTAACTACCTTCACTCCTCAGCAATGTTTATTGTTTGAAAAAGCAATGATGAGAATTGGAATAAAACCTAAACATAATGAAAGTGAATTTATACATTTTTTTTTGTTCTTGAGAATTTACAAGAAAATGTTAAACACTATTTATTAGAATGTTAATTTACAAGAATAAATTTATATTTACAACATTCTAAAATCTAATACATTTAGAACTAATGCAATGCAATGCAATGTTTATCGTTTACAAATTTATAAAGAAATAAATGTGAAAACAATTTTTTCATTCATAAATTTATAAACATTTACTAAATTATTAAAATATGTGAACCAGCTAAGGAAATCCTTATTATTTACCATTTTATAAAGTTTGAATTAATTGGTAATTAGCTGATGTTCTGCCAACCATTCCAATAAATAATATGATAGTGTTTATTATTTTTGTTGTTAATTCTAAAGAATAAAGAAAATGTATAAAGTCCACTTTCATATGTTTAGGTTTTATTACAATTTTAATTATTACTTTTTAAAATAATAAACATTGCCGAAGAGTGAAGGTAGTTAAAAAAAAGTGGTGTCATGGGAAACCCATCCTTCTATTGCAGGCACATTTATTCATGTTTGCTGATCATATATATATATATATAAAATTCTGTGGTGAGAAACAAAAACCACCAGTCTACAAATTTCCAGAGAGACCATTGAAAGTAGAAGACAAAGCCCTGAACTATGTAAAGTCTTTCACCTATCTTGGTAGCAAAGCCAACTACAGTGGAACTTTAGATGATGAAATCATACATCGGATTGCTAAGGCTACCAGTGCTTTCAACAAACTTCACCATCACTTGTGGAATGAACGGAGTATTCGACTGGATACGAAAATTCGGGTTTACAGAGCTGTTGTACTTGCCATCCTTTTGTACAGCTCAGAGTTGTGGACTCCATACAGGTATCATGTACACCAGCTGGATGTTTTCCATAAAAGCTGTCTGCATGCAATCTGTGTAGTTAACATTCAAGATAGGACATCTAACGTAGACCTGTTTAACAGGTGTAATATTGGAGGAATCGTGACTTTTCTTATACAGTCTCAATTATGGTGGACTGGTCATGCCTTAAGAATGTCTGATGACAGGGTACCCAAGATCCTAATGTACAGCCAGTTAGGTCAGAGCTACAGGAATAGAGGACGCCCATGGGTAAGATACAAAGACAAGCTGAAAAACAACTTGTCAGCTGTCAATATACCATATAACACCCTTGAGCGCTTAGCCTTGGAGCAGGTAGAATGGAGATCAACGTATTTTTGTGGACTCAGCAGTTTTCAATCTGCTTGTCTGAATCATCAAGAAGTGAGAGCAAAATCTAAAAGGTCAGCCAATCTAACAGTGATCTCATCTCAATCCTCACTCTTTCTCCATATGTGGCCTCCTTTGTAAATCACTAGCGGGTCTCAAGTGCCACTTAAGATTATCACACAAAATTTCATAACTTAATTACAAAGCCACCAAATTCATGATCAAATGCTTTAATCTACTAGGCTATTGTCTCTTGGGTATTTTCCTATAAATTAAGTAATGGTTTTACTTTGAAATTCCCTGAAGGTGATCCAGATTGACAGACACAATGGCTGAAACATTATGATAATACAACAAAGATGAGGACATTAGTCTGAATGTAAACAATTATAACTCCTCATCTAAGAAATTTAGACAGAAACAGTTTTAATTTGTTGGGATAAAATACATACATGTCACAAACAGAAACCAAAGCTCCAGAAAGGATAATAAAATAGTAAATAAACAAATGCCATAAGCCATTGACAGTAAGCTTAGTTAAACAGTGGATCTTATATATGTGTCCCTGTTGTAGATTTGGGTTGAATCCAAATAAATCAAAATTTATCCCATGAATTATCAAGAAAAAAAAAAACTGATATACTAATTATAAAAAGTTTTAAAAAAAGATGTTTGTTTCCCCCCCACCACCACCATTTTAACACAGTTGAGTGAAGCTATGAAAAAAAAAATCTATACAACATACCATGCTTTGTGAACAGATTTGGGATCTAAATCTCGTAACGGGATCTTCACTTCCCCAAGAAAAGCACCAGGAAACATTCCACCTAGCATCTCTCGTGATACTTTCGTATCATCATGCCACAAGGATATACTGTAAAAGAAAAAACAAAATGATAATGGAAATATTAGGCGTTACCTTATAAGAAAACATTTGGCACTCATAGACAAAAAAGCAGCCAGTGTTGCTTTTAGTTGAAATTTATAAAATCTTTCTCTTAGAACAATTTTTCAGGAAAATTTTTTTTCTCAAGTCCAGTTATTGTTATTACTCTTTCTAGTATTGATGGGGGTGTTTCCTTCCTAATCTTTTGTTTGAGGTAGTGTGGAATATCAACATCTTGATTATATCAATATTTTCTCTTTGAGTTGCGTGTGATATTCATTTTACTTGTTGTTGCTATTGGTAGTCTGCAAATGATGTGGTTTCTGTTATTTGGTAAAGTTTTTTTGTTTGTGATTCTGTGGTGTCAGTGCACAAGGTTTGAAGAAGGATGGTTCTTGCTAATACCTACAGGTTTCATTCAGTCAAAGCCATTAAATGCAATTTCTTTTTTTAAAAAGAAACGGCTAACTTTTTTTTCATGGAGGATCACATCAATTTCAGCTGCTGTATAAAGTGGGGTGCATCCACTAACAACAATATTTTCATAACAGTAATATAAATCAAATATATGCATGCATATTTTATTTGTGCATTTATTTGCTTATTAGACACATTTTGAGAACAGACTGCACAAATTTTATATTTTATTTATGCATTTATTATTATTGAAATTTGTGCAGCTGAGAAAACTTAAAATCATGAGAAATTCTTAATAAATCTCTTGAGACATTTATAGTAAAGTACACAAATGACATTATATAAGGTGTGATGGGTAAACTATCGCCATTTTATATTTTTAATTTTGTGCATGCATTTTGTTTTTGTCAACTGTACAGTATAGTAGGGTCAGTTGGACACTGTCTGTGAGAAAAAGAGCACCATGATGTAACTCCACCAGAAATTTGGAAACGGCATGCTGTACTGCTTGGCATTCATGCCAGAAGCTCCAATATGAACATTTCAGAGTGTTTGGTGTCAATCTGAGGACAGTGCAGAGGATTCGGAAAGGGTTGAATAAGTCTAATGGTGATTACGAAGTTATTTGATCACTATTGATGACGATGCTATGCCTCCATTCATGTCTTCTTACAAGGCCTCAGACTCAACACAGAGGCCTAAATCAAGTGCTTTGAGGAGGTAGTGCTGCCCTGGGTCAAGAGGGTGGCTGCTGGAAGACCTTATATCTGGCAACAGGACTTCGCACCATGCCACACAGATATCAACTTTTATTATTTTTTTTTTTAAATGAACATTTAAAAATATTGTTGTCCTATTGAAGTCTGCATAAAATCATCAGGTGGGCCATACTTTGCCCACTTCTGATATGAAAGAACACTCCAACTACAATTGCAAAATGACGGTCAGATTTTTGAAAGTGGGTACAAGAAGCCAAGCCAAAAAAAGTGCTGAAAAGGTCATGAAAATATGTTAAATTCTTCAAAAATGAATGAAGCACTTACCATAAATCTCCACTGAGAAAATCTTCAAAGATATATTGGTTTTTATCACCATTTTGATTTCTTTTGTCAAGCTGGAACAAAAAACAAAATAAACTGAAAAGAATATGATTAATGAATCTTTGATTAGTGCACTAAAATTTTTATATACCAAAATTTGTTTAGTGCATACATAATACTCAGTTAGTGTGGTAAAACATTCTTCAAATTAACCATAGTAATTGAAAACTAATTTTTTTATAGAACTGATGTACAGATTAGCCACACTAATCAAGGAATTTTTGTACATGCTGCTACTATAAACAAAACTACAATTAATACATGTGAAATTCTTTGTGAGCAAACCAGTAACAGTAATGTCATGAGATAGGCTCCCAAAGATTATGAGATGCAAGTTCAAATCTCATCACAGACTATTTTTTTTTTATTTCTCATCTATGCTGCTTACTTAACAATCTGAGAGTTGTTGGTATTATTATTATAAAAATTATTATTTAAAGAAAAGTAAAAAAAAAGACAGAAAGGAAAAAAAAAGACAGAAAGGAAAAAAGAAAAACAAAGAAAAGGAAAAAAGAAAAAGAAAAGGAAAGAATGAAAAGAAAAGAATGAAAAGGAAAGAAAAGAATGAAAAGGAAAGAAAAAGAAAAGGAAAAAGAAAGAAAAAGAAAAGGAAAAAGAAAAGGAAAGGAAAAGAAAAGGAAAAGGAAAAGAAAAAGGAAAAGGAAAAGAAAAGGAAAAGGAAAAGAAAAAGGAAAAAGAAAAGGAAAAGAAAAAGGAAAAGGAAAAGAAAAGGAAAAGGAAAAGAAAAGGAAAAGGAAAAGAAAAGGAAAAGGAAAAGGAAAAGAAAAAGAAAAGAAAAGGAAAGAAGAAAAAGGAAAGAAGGGAAGAAAAAAAGGAAGGAAAAGGAAAGAAAGACAGAAATACTATGAAATTCAGATAATTTGATGTTATTACATCAAATAATGTACCAATCAACAAAAAAGAAAACTCCAGTGAAAAATATTAATAATGACAATGCTGAATATAAAAAATTAAGATTATTGCATCTGGTTGATTTTTATTAACTTTTCAGTGTTTACTTCCACCATCCACAATGCCTATCTTGATTCCTCATCAAGTGTCTCAAACAGTTTGTTTTTATAAAATCTGACATTGAATAAACAATAAAAGAACAACAGAGATTAAATCAATCATAACATTTTAGAATTTATTAAAGAAAAACAAGACAAAGAAATGATAAAAATTTGCTTGTGTATCACAAAACAAAGAAAACTTACATCAAAGAAAAATGTTTCTTCAAACTGTGGACAAATGGTTTTCTTCTTCACACTCGTTCGCTTGACTTCCTCCCTGTGTCGAGATTTGCCAAATGTGACCGTTATAACAGCATAAGGATTGCACGCACCATTGACCACTGTCAAATCCAGACATTCAATAACCCTAAAGATGGAAGGGAGGGGTGGGGAAACCAACAACATTGAAATAGCAGAATAAAAATGAAAAATATTTGTAAAAAAAAAAAAAAAAAAAAACAAGCAAAGTTCCAAAGTTTAACATATTTAGCCACAGAAAAAAAAAAAAAAAGTGTGTGGGGGGGGTTCAAAAGGACAGTTTTTCTCTTGATGTTGCTATAACTCCCTGCTCACTTGACAATTTTTACTGTTTTAACATGTTATTTTTAGAATTTTAATAAAACTCAACCATATGAACTTGGATTTATTCTTTGTTGTCAAGAATTGACAAGAAAAGTATTAAAATACAATTCTTCTAAATAAACAGACTAATAATAAATAGTGTTTAACATTTTTGTTGTCAATTCTCAAGAAAAAAATAAAGTACAAAATACAAATGCTGGAAACCTATTTTAATGAATTTATGTGGTGAGAGCCAATGAAAAAAATACATGAAAAATGCATTTTTTAAAAATTTATAATTATTTGTCTGTAAGTTTACTAAAACTTTTGTTTGCTTGTTCAGATATTTTTATAAATCGATAAACAAATGTTTTCATAGTTATTTCTTTATAATATCATTAATAATAAATATTGCACTGGAGTTGATTCACATATTTTTATAAACTTGTAAATCTAAAAATTTTCTTGCAAATAAAAACCAATAGAAAAAAATGCATAAATCCAGCTAAATATGTTTAGGTTTTATTAAAATTCAAAAAATAGCTTTTTGAAAGCAATAAAAATTGCTGAGGGAGTATAGAGTAATAATAGTGTTAAGAGAAAAACTGTCCTTTTGAAATACCATTTTTTTTTTTGCAGTACATATGTTAAACATTGCCAAAGTTTCATTGTATTCTTAGATAGCAAATTAATTCCCCCTCCCCCCACATGATAGAGGTTGACTGTCAAACTCTAGTTGAGGTGACTTATTTCTGTACTAATGCACTCAGAACAGCATGAAAAAAAAATCTTCCACCATTCTGTACTAACACTATTTTGATGAAATGATAGTCATGTCATTGGCATACCACAATCTAAAATGAGGGGAAAAAATTGTTTTATACAAGCATTTCCCTCTCCTATAATTACTTGGAGGTGTCAGCAGACTAACAGTTAACATTGTGGAAAATGGAGTTAACAAGCAAAGTTCAAATTATAGCTGAAACAGTTTGTATTTATGTTGCAATAAAGCCTTTGGAAAAGGCATGAATCCATCTCTTCTCCTTCCAGCTAGGGGTTAAATAGCCTTGTTTGGCAACCAGTCTAGGAGTAAGACAACTCTGAATTCATCATATTGAAAAAGGCAATGAGAAACCACTCCAATATATTTTGGGAGAACAATTAATGCAATGCACAGTTCAGGGCTATAAAAGAAAAGGAAACCGTGGTGAGCAATATTTGCCTATGTCCTGGAAAAAAAAGAAATAATTACTTGCCCAGTTTTCAGTATAGTCAGATATTCTTTTCTACTCTTCTCAAGTAAATCCATTTGCCAAGTAAAATACAATAAAGGACATGAGACCTAACATCTCATTCCAATATGGCACCAAATAAACATTTATTTTGGAAGAACTCAAAAGTACTATCAACTGTTGGCATGAAAGAAAAAGTACAGGTCATCCATTCTTTATATATGTATATCTCCAATGATGTTTAATAGGGAAAATTCCAAGGAGGATATGAATCCAAAGAGAGCTCAATGTAAAAAAAGAGCAATATTATAATAATAAGGAATCCTTAAAAATCCATCATGGTAATAATTTATTTCATGGGTTATTACCCAATCATTCAGACCAAAAATACATTGAGAAAAACATACATCTCAATGTATTTTTGGCCTGAATGATTGGGTAATAACCCATGAAATAAATTATTACCATGATGGATTTTTAAGAATTTCTTATTCATTATATATATATATATATATATATATATATAAAGTAAACATTGAAGTCAACACTTAGAGGTGACAGGCTGTTTCATGTTAGACACAATTGTCAAGCCACATTAAGTGTCATATATATATATATATATATATGGTGTCTCAAAAAAATGTATACACACTTTTACTGTCAACTTGCTTTCTTTTAAAATTTACATGTTAGTATTACTAATGTGAATGCCGGCTTAGCTTTGAACAAAAAAAAGTTAATCCTTAAATGCTAGTGGAAGTATGAAAATGCATTTGGAGTTCAAAGATAGTATAAAAGAGAGTTTCATTCAGATCCACCTACACAGCTTACAATCTCACAAATGAGAGCTGTACACGATGTACACAAGAACGGTTTCAGAAAACGCGCAGATATCAACAAGTCCTGTGAATGAAGAATGAGTGGTGGAAAGTTTTTGCAGGAGTTCAAGAAACCTATCAAAATGTTGATTTCTGCTTGTAATTCTGCTGCATCAGTTACATTGTCGGGATCATAACAGACATCTATTTGAAAACACGAGATGACAAAATTTTAAGAGAATGCATTTATAATAAATACCATCTTCATATGCATTATTTAAATTAGATATAGTTGGTTCTAGTTGCTTTGCTTGAATTATTTGTTGAGAAAGCTTCAAAATTTGTATACAGTTTTTCTGAGACTATATGTATGTGTGTGTGTATATATATATATATATATATAAAAAATGTCATCCACAGACAGACTGTTTCACAGCTCTTCAGTGGGGCTAAACGTCCAGTTGCCTCTAGCTAAGTCGTCGGTGCACAGCAGGTATGAAGGTGAATTTTAGCGTATTTATTTTTAGATAAACACACAGTGACCGACAGGACTCAATTGACTTTTGCCGGAGAGTCTCGCTATATCAGCCATAATAGTCACTGTTTATACCCCCCCATATATATATATATATATATATATATATATATATATATATATATATATATATGATAAAAATGAACTAGTGACCAAGTAATACCACCTCTAAGACTGATAACTCCCAAAAAGAATATTTTAGGTATAATTTTCATGTTGTTTCTGATATCATATATACATGTGATAAAAATATAGCTTTATGGTATAGTATATTTGCGGCTTAAAATGCTCAATATCAGGAATAGAGTGTATGTAAAGATGAAAGGGGACATTGAGGTCATCACCCAATGCCAACAGCCAGAGGAAGCTTCAATACAAGGAATGCTCTTATTGTGCTTGAATTCAGTTTTCTTTCTCCAAGATAGGTTGCTATCCAAGGCTAGTGAGTCTACACTTCTCTACTAAATAGAATTTTTCTTAGGGGGCTGGAGGGTACTCTCTATTCTGAAAAATACAAGAAACCACTTATTGGGACAGAGTCTTTTTAGATGGCAATAACTGGCTGATAATATTAAGCAAAGGAAATAAAAATTGGAATAATTTACATATAATTAACATTTTTTATAACCAACTTTACAGAATAACAAAAATTAATACAGAATTTATTCACTTGAAAATATTATTTTTTGAATCCTTTTAAATAAAATACCTGGGAGCAACACATTTTCATAACAATAAGCATTTAACCCGTAATTTTTTTTTTTTTTTTTTTGAGGAGGAGGGGGGGTGCATGATTGCAGCCCCCCCCCTACACACACGCAAAGGCATTCATGTGAAGTGAACATAACAGACTCAACTGGAATTTAAAAACAAGCCACCAACTCCATTGTCCACGCAAATATCCATTATGTTACCTATACGCCCATCAACATTTTATGTATGCATAACGAGGGCAACAATATTCGTTTTCTATGAAAGATTAATTTTATTTTTTTAATGCTCATTTCATTAGTTTATTAGTTGGAGTACTGGTCTTGTAAATTCAATCAAATGAGTACTTTCTTTTTTTCTTTTTTTTTTTTTTTGACAGTCCCAAATTTATTAAAAGAAATGTAAAAACTTATTCAATCACTTTTTTTATTATTATTTAATCCTTTATTTCTTTTCTTAACTTATTTTATATCAAGCAAAAATAAAAACTTCTTTGTTAGTAGTTCCAGGTTATGTCATATTTCAAATGGCATTGTTGGGTGTGGGTCTAATATTTTGGTCCAATAAAGATAATTCCCAATTTAAAAAAATAAAAAGAATTCAATCTCTCCTATCCTCAACTGATCATATAAGTTGTTATTCAACCCACAAACATTAATAATAGCTTCATATAGCTCTAATTTCATATAAACCTTTTCTTTTCATGATATTTCATGTTTATATATCACTCAGATCTATCATTCTAGTATCTTAATTTATGAGTGTTAATTAACCCAATCTACATTTTATTGCATTAATCTATCTTTTGTGCTTAGGCATCTATTTCTCCATTAGCCACCTCAAAATGTAAAACTATCTTAAACTGTTATACTAACTAGCAACCTCTAAATTGGTCACCCAAGCAAAAATGGGATTCTTTGCAGGTAATTTAACATAGCTGTTTATGAATATGACAGATGTTTTTTTTAAAGATGTATTAAAATTATGAGGTCAGGTAAAAATCCAGTCTACAGACATTATTCAAATGACTTTTTTTTTTGCATAAATACTCATTTTATTCACATTTTTGGATTTAGTTTGCATTTTTTTAAATTTCAGCATATATTTTAGTTTCTTGATTCTGATCTGTCTGTAATACATTTCTTAATTTAAAAATAGTTCTGAATTAAAATTTTTAAATTTCAGCCATATAAATTCAAATTAAAAAAAAAAAAAACAGACTCACCTAACCACCATTCGATGGGATGAGAAAGACTCTGGTTCTGTGTTAAGATACTCATCAAACCGTATTTCCACGTGGACTTTGCCCTAAAATCAAAAACATTCATCCTATTAAATAATTTCATTTAAACAGAAGATTACCAACATCATCAGGATAATAAATAATACAATTTCACATCTACACTGTGAGTTCGTTTTTTTAAATAGTTGAATAAAAATAATTTGTCGGAAATGCACATCAAAATTTCTGGAATAACGCATAAAAAAATTATATATAAAGTTCTAGTAAGGTAAATTACTTCAGAGCACATTTTTGTCTAAATAATTATGTCATTAAAATTGACCATTTAAAAAAAAAAATTATTCTAAATTAAGTTACTTCCCCTTTTATTAAAGATTCTAAAGTTACCTCCCGTGTATCACAAAATTTACTTAAGTGAAGACAATCGTGTGAATTTCTTTAGTTCATTTTTTTACGATAATGATATAAATTAATAACCAATGAGAAACAATTAAAAGAAATACTGAATATGAAAATGGCACCTCAACAGCATTTTCTATAAAAAGACAACCCCCCAAAAAAAAAAAAAACAAGAATGCCAAAACATGAAAAATTAGAAGCACAGATCACTGGTCATATAAGACAACCACCAAATTTTTTCGTATTTTAAAATGTATTGTATTAAATAAATTCAGTAAGCATATACTTTCTTTTCACTCAGACAAATCTCACACAAGGTAAAAGTACTTTTATTACACTATACTTTTATTATAATAATATGAATTAAAGTTGTTTCAGTAGAAAATATTCGTATTGATAGTTACCAAGGTAGGGGTTAGCCTACCATCAAAAATTTCCCATGCTAACAACTTACCATAAACCACAGGTTCACATTATATACCTGGTGTATAAAACAGGTGAGGCGGGGCACTAAGGTTAAAAAGTCACCTTGTACACCAACATACACAGTAATTTTAACTCTTTACTAGAAAATATGTTAACAAAAAAGAAAAAAGAATCAGATAAAGAATGGCCCTTGTTATCTAATGGGGAGTTTATTGCAAAGAGCTTAACCTTATCTGATAAAGATGAGATCACTTCAGGATCATTTATAATGGAGAGCATTGAGAGTTTGCCTCTATTCAGACTGGCACTTGTGATTTTCCAGAACTCATAGTATCCAAATTTTTGTTTTCAACCTTGGTTTGGACGGTCTGCGCATTTCTGTACTTTGTATTTTCCTAGACACACTTGCAGTGACTGCATGCAATTTTGAATGAGGTTCTGCTACTCCATTCCTTCTGATAGAGACAGAGGTAGTGGTTATGTTCAGCCATGTCTGCAGCACATTTAGGCATGAACTAAAGTTAGCCATTTTGTGAGGAATAGAACTTTCTATGCCAAAGAGGATCCATTCAGAAATTAGAGGCTGTTCTGGAAGGTCTGCTTTTGAAAAAAGCTTAGAGTCGCTTCTGAAATTTAAGATATGAAGCTGTCCCAATTGGGTTTGTTGCATCAGTGGATTATTCCATGTAACGGCACATCTGAGGATACCATGGATCAATGAATGGTCTGAGCTGTCCAAAGGAGGTAACCCATCAGCAGAACATTGATCAGGGCAGGTGGTGATGAAGAAGTCTAAGTTAACATGATGCCCAGATGTATTAGGAACACAAGTACACTTATCCACATTCTGGGTCAGCTTGTGAACTATGTTGATTAGGATGAAGTAGTAAATGAGTTCAGCATTTTCAAAAGGAATAAATTTCAAAATGTAGAGGATTTTTATGCATATGTTTTATAAAAGAACAACATAGTTCACAAAAGATTGACTGATTGATTATTTGTTTTAGCTATGGGTTATTTAATGCTGAAACTGGATTTTAATTCAAGAATGTTTCAAAACTTTTCAAGTGATTGTGAGATTTTAAAATTGTTTTCAAAATATCACAAGTTATATAGTTCAGGAGTATTTTAAAACATAAGTTGTATGGTTCAACATGCTTTTGCTCTATTTTCTATAGAAGTTGGAAGTATTTTATTTTCTTATGATATCCTATTATTTGGGTACATTTTTGAAGAGCATGTTAAGATTTTGTGCTTGATAATAGTAGCTACATATTTTTTTGTGCTTCTTCCATTCTATCAAGATATGTTTGACTGTGAGAAATTGGGTACACTGAGGTGTGGTTTCTGTTTTGAGCACATGTGTATGTCTAATTCTCATTCTGTTGAACACTATGTTTTGTCTGCAAAACACTCTGCCGTGCCAGGAAATTTTTGTCACCAAGTCGATCCTTCAAATCTACAAATCAACCATTCGCCCTTGCATGGAGTATTACTGCTGTATATGGTCTGGAGCCCCTTCTGATTGTCTCAAGGTGCTTGATAAAATCCAGAGATTGGCCCTGATCTGGCATCTTGTTTGCAGTCGTTCTCTCACAGACGTGCTGTTATCTCCCTCAGTCTTTTTTACAAATACTTTCATGGTAACTGCTCCGATGAGCTGCTTTCGCTGGTTCCCAGACTTCATGAATTTAAGTGTTCAACTAGGCTGGCATCTCGCTCTCACCCTTTCAGTGTTGAAACTGTTAATTGTAGCTGTCTCTTTTACTCCAATAGCTTCATGCCTCGCACTTCTCGCCTGTGGAACACCCTCCCCTTTTCTCATTTCCCTGATGGCTATAATCTCCAACTATTCAAATGTAATGTCAATTGATGTCTCCAGATGCCCTGATCTATCTGTAGTGATAATTGGAACAAAAATATTCTCCCACCTGATCGCAAACGGCAGCGTATATGTTCCACGTGCAAGGTTTATCGTTTTGAGTGGGAAAAGAAACATAGCCGCCCCCAGCAAGCTTGTATAGTGAATGGTCATGTATCCTCATGCGGACAGTCTCGTAAAGCCACGGAGAGTGGATTCACACATTTAAATGAAGGAAGGCAGAAAAGGAGATAAAAACGCTGAACGTCGGCGTCTGGGGAGTCAGAAAAACAGAGTCTCTTTTGTAACGTGGAAGGAGAATCATGTAAAAGAGAAAGCAGAGGCGCAGAAGAAGATTATTGAGAAAATTGAAGGAGTTTATCAGTTGTTGTGGTTTTACACCAGGCGTATCAAGAAAATATTGTTTTGTTCAGGAAGTTTTGTCAGACGTCGTGGATTGCAACAACAACAACTACACTATCCCCTATCCTTCTCTTCATCCTTTCCTCTATCACTTCTATTTGCTCTTGCTCCAACTCTCTGTAACCCCTTGCATACTAGTGGCTTCCCGCTTTGCTTGGGGTGAAACGCTTAAAAAAAAAGCTAATGGTTCTATATTCTCCTTTCTTATTGTCAACTGATATTCATATAGTTTATTACTTAGAAATGTCTCCCAAATTGCTTACCATTTTCTTTTGATCTGTTGCATAATTTTGTTTTTATAATCTGTATATGGGAGTTTGATGTCGGTTATTTTCATTTTCATTGCCACTTTCATCAGTGTGAGTTCACAAAAAGAGGAGAAAGAAAATTTTCTATTTATGTGTATACAAATAGCTCAAAAAACAGAAAGAAAAAAAATATGTGCTTAGGTGCAGTGCATGTTTGAAATTAAGTAGACAGTATCCTGGGAGAATGAAATCTCTCCTAGCAAGAATAAGTTCCATACTGTTGCTACTACATCTATGAATAGAAAGAGTAAAAGAGAATTTATGTACTTCCTCTTATAGTCCTGTACAGAACAACACATTGCAGGCATCTTGACAGACATGATGGGGTGATCCCCATATACTAAAAACATAATAATAAAAACAATAAAAATCTTAACTTACTGTGTGCTGTTTATATAAGTAAATATCTTTTATATTATATATAAAGAAAGAAATGGATCAATAAGTGAATAGCCTGACAGTTATTAACTGAATTTGGATTTCAAATTATTGTATAGTGTTCAGTCTATGGGATTAATAGTCACTACTGAATTGAATACATTGCTTTTTTTTTTGTTTTTTGTTTTGCTTTTTTTTAATCATTTCACCTCCAGCAAGGTGATAATGCCCCTAGGATGCAGGGGTGTTACAGGGAATGAAAGTGAACATGAAATGAGATGAGAAAAGGACAGTTAAAGAACTGCCATCACAACAGAATGCACATTTTATTGCAGTTACAATAAGTTTGTCTTTGTCATTTACCCATGAAGATGATCTTGGAAAAGACTGAAAGTAATTGAGCTAAAAAAAAAACACACACTATGGCACCTTCCTTGATGAATTTCATCTAATATCAAAAAACTGATGAGACAACTGGAAAGAATAAGTATAAAAATAAGTAGATAATATGTCTATATTATTCAATGAAATATATATATAGATATATATAATTTCTATAAATGCTATTTTTAGTGGGTATTTTTTTTAACATTATTAAACAGTGAAATTAATAACAACTGGCCTAAATTGAGAAGGCTTATTACAGAAAAAGTATGCTTCCAACAGGAATCAAACTAGCATCCCTTTTTTGCCTCAGGGAAACCACTTTTGGAGCCCAAATGTGCTTCTAGCAGTTCAGCCACAGATCCAGCCTAACAGAGCAAGGTTAAGGAAAGCATGTTTTTCACATTGGGATTTCAACAAATCTATATTTGCTAGCTTCAGTTTCTTACCTGAAATGTAAACAATGGTAATTTTTTAAAGTAATTTTTATCTGACATTATTTATGCCAGTGGTTGTTAATTTCACCGTTTTCACAATACAAGCCCCATAACACTTAGGGTCAAAGGGGCACAATATATATTGCAGTAGCAGTGGTGTTTCCTAGGCAAGATAGCCTGACAGAGCCCAACTCTCTCCAGGCTGGTTTGAATTCAGAGTTTTCCTTCTCTTAGACTACTTGCCAACCAAGGCTATAGGACCAAATCTGTCCTGCTATTTATCCAGAGAAGAGATTGATTCTTACCTTTCCCAAGGGCATTAGCATGTAAGTGAATGCAATAAACCTGACTGGAATTTGAACTCAAAAAATGATTTACAAAAATTATACCATTTGGTCAAATATGATATTCTTCTATATGCCATGTCACTTCAGGACATGGTCGATCAT